CTATAAAACTTCCCTAGTCAAGGGTTTATTTTCTTTGACCAATACTCCTTTTGCCATTCACCACCAATGTTGTGCTTCACCTTCTAACATAAAAACTGTCAAGGCCACCTTCTTATCATCAGGACATTCTACTATTTCGAATATTTTCTCCAATTGCATAATCCATCCCTCGGCTTCCAGTGGGTTTACAGCACCCTTAAAAGAAGGTGGGTTCAATTTTTTAAATTGTTCAATATTACTCCCTTTATTTCTCGTAACTGTCTGTCTTGGTGAATTGTTGTTTTCCATCTGATGTTGCAATAGAGCAACCATATTTTTCAAGGCTTTGTGAATTCCTTCCATATTAGCATCAGCTATTCTGGATCTTGACTGCGTCTCAGTCTGTACACGTAATAAAAGTGATTTTAAGTACCTTCTTTTTAAATTTCTTAAGAATCTTAAACCGATTGCTCCGATACCATATTTTGTCACACCTCAAGAATTTACAATACTGATATTCCTGAGATGTGACAGTCAAAACAAAGCAATTTTAGACTCTACTCATAACTAATATTAACATTAAGGTCTAAACATAAATACATATCTTGGCAGGACAAATTTACAGTGGCGAATTCTTACAAAGTAATAAAAGAAAGTTTAAGCACAACTACAATATCTTCTAAAGTTGATCCTGACGAGCACTCAATATGAAACCACAGTTATCCTGAAAAAATGTTTACCAAAGTTTGATGAGTTTGGCTACTCAGTAAGTGATCATCATAATCCTAAAAATAATCATGGTTGAAAGATATCAATATTTTCAAAAAGGAGATCTATTAAAAGAAATGCATCAACAGTTTCACTTTCAAAAATGCATAATTAAGTATAATCCGAATAATTGAAATGCATATAACATTTTAACTGTAGTGCATAATTCAAAGGATTTCACAAATTACCCTACTAACGTCCCAAGTAGGTCACCTATATACCCCATCAGCGTCCTGATGGGTCTACTTAATCCCTATCGACGTCTCAGATAAGTCCACTTAATCCCTGCAGGTCCACTTATACCTCAACAGCGTATCGAATGAGTCCACTTAATTCCTCCGGCGTACCGGATTGGTCCACTTATACTTCACCGGCGAACCGAATGAGTCCACTTGCATACTT